CAATTTCTGTTTAACGGAGAGAAGCCTTTAAAGCCTTTTTCCAACACTTTTCTACACTTAATAATTTTAATAATTCATTTCTAATAACTGATTTCTCTTATCTTTGCCCTGATGACAGTACATAATATTTGACTATATATTTTTCAAGATAGTATTCAGCTTAAAGTGACTTTTAAAGGCTCAATTAGGCTAAGGTAGGGTCATTAGGCAAGCCATTATATTACAGCAAATTAATAAAAGATATTGCTCAAAAGGGCTAATAATACTGATCTTAAAATGGTTTTTAAAAGATTAAAAACTGCTTTTATTCTAGCTGAAATAAAACATTTTTTGAAGAAAAACTATTATAGGAAATACTGTGAAAAATTCCTTGCTCTGGTAAACATCACTTGGGAAATATTTGAAAGAAAAAAAATTCACAGGAGGGTGAATGATTTTGACTTCAACTGTAAGTGAATATGTTTGCATGATATAACACATCAAACAACTGGATTAATTAAAAGAAGGAACATTTGCTAATAAAATAAAGTGTGCCCTTAATGTGATTAATTGCTCTTCTGTGAGGTTTGATGAGAGCAGAATCAATACATTCACTGAAAACCATGCAAATAGATAAAGGCAGGCCTTCTTTGAGAACAAAAACCAGTCATAAACCGTCAGTGAAATATAAATTGCCCAAAGGACATGTGCCACACTCTGACATCTTAATTAATGTAGTGTTTATTTCCTTCTCATCGCCTCATTATTCTCTCTTATTTTAATAAGTCTCTTTATATACATTGAATATATACAGTTGAAGGCAAAATGATTATCCCTCCTGTAAAATTGTAAATCTTTTCAAATGTTTCCTAAGTGCTGTTTAATGGAGAGCAGATTCAAATGTGGCTATCATTTATTTTATTTCAGCTTTATTTGACAGGGATGACACACATTATTAATACAAACTAATGTACAACATGCCAGATGCCAGAATCCATATATCATATATCCATCCATCCATCCATCCATCCATCCATCCATCCATCCATCCATCCATCCATCCATCCATCCATCCATCCATCCATCCATCCATCCATCCATCCATCCATCCATCCATCCATCCATCTATCTATCTATCTATCTATCTATCTATCTATCTATCTATCTATCTATCTATCTATCTATCTATCTATCTATCTATCTATCTATCTATCTATGTCCTTCCATACATCCATCCATCCATCCATCCATTAAAGGGGCTAAAAATAATGACCTTAAAATGGTTTATAAAAAAATTTAAACTGCTTTTATTCTAGCCAAAATAAAAAGACTCCAGAAGAAAAAATGTTATCAGACATACTGTGAAAATTTCCCTTTTCTGTTAAACATCATTTGGGAAATATTTAATAAAGGGAAAAAAATTCAAAGGGGGGCTAATAATTCTGACTTCAACTGTATATATCTATCTATAATATTCCTTTTATGTAAAAATTTATTTTATTTAAGCCAAAATAAATGAGACTTTCACTAGACAAATATACTGTACACAGTAATAGGAAATACTGTGAAGGTTTAGTTACTCTGTTAAACATCACTTGGGAAATAATTTAAAAGATTTGATATTTCACAAATGGGCTAATAATTGGCCTTTAACTATACATTTATAATTATTTACAGTGCAAACCTTTCAAAACTCTTTTTAAGAGAAACAACAAAAACACACTATGACCGCTCTCTAAATGAAGATATGGAGATCTAGCCCCACCTGGTGCTTGAAAAGAACAGAGAGAGTCCATGCTTTTGGATGGCCGGATAGCAGTCTTTTCTGTTGAAGAGAAACAAGCAGACACATTAAACCGTTTCATATTTGATCTTGTTCTTAATTTATCAATATATGTATATCTATATTTATATTGAGATTAGATACTCATGGTTTAGTCTAAACTTTAATTTTTGAATCTGATTTAAAGTTTTTATAACCTTTATTGTTTTTTTCTAAAAAAATATATATTCCTAATATTACTTAATGTAGCTTAGTATTTTTTCCTTTAATTTACAGATTCACAAAAGCTAAATGATCTTATTTACAATATATGAATTGATCTCTGCTTTTAATGTAGAAAGTGACATATATATTGATATAAAGATTCAATAATGAACTGCTAGTTCTTTTTACAGATTTATTTCCATGCATGCTATTTCTTATATATTATATTGCAAATTTTATTTTTAATCAAAACACTAAAAATGTCAATAAAAGTCACTAAAAAGTTACATCTTAAACTATTAATAATGTCCAATAATGCCATTGCCATTAAATAAACAAGCAACAGGAAACTTATAATTGATACATTTACTGTGTAAAATATGAAAGTACAACCTTGATTAAAACGAAACAATTTACAAGTAAATGTTTAATTTAATTTACTTTATATAAAGACAACTTTGTTCATTGTGATGATTATTTTTTAAAATGACATGCATACTAAAAAAGTGAAGTTTACTGTGGTTTATTTCTGCACTATTCTATAGAAGAAACCTAATTATTGTTGCTCTGCTGCGTGATGTAGGTGGCCTGAAATGTTCTGTTGGCATTTTGATTAATGACTGAAACTCTTCTTTCTCTGTCTTTTCTTTCTTTCTTACCTGAAGAATTTTGGGCTCTCATAAACACACTCCCATTGCGACTCAGTTTCCCTTTAGAGTCGATGACAGATCGCCCGAGACTGAAAATGGACTTCCACTTCTTTGATTTTCCTGAGAACTTTCTTCTGCGTCAGGAGAAGGTTAATTAATGTCTCAGAATGCAATGGAAAAATGAGTAATGAAGAATATGAGTACATAGTCATGTGCAAAATTAGTACACCCCTAAAGTTAGTAAAGGTAAAAAAAAAAATGATCTGATGTTTGACAGGTCCAAAAATTTGGAAATTTATATATTTTTTAATATAACTTTGTTTATTTATTTATTTTTTATCCTTTTGTATTTGATTTGTATTTTGCACCTGCAATATACAAACACGTGCAATTTGTGTATCTCTTTGAATAATAAAAAAGTAAATACAAAAATTGTGAAATAAAACCTCACATGGAAAACAAAGTATGACCAGCAGAAGATTGATCAGTGTGTTGGTGAGGAGCTTCAGTTGTCTGTAAATAAAAAAATATTCACAATAAAAGCTAAAGCTGAGCCAAAACTGAGACCCAAAGAAGACGACGACACCAACAAGAGCCGCAAATCTACAACACAACAACTGAAGAGAAAAACACAATGTAAGGTAATGTGTATTTATATAGTGCATATTGTGTATGGCCATACACCCAAAGCGCTTGACAATCATGAGGGTGGTCTCTTCACACCACCACCAGTGTGCAGCATCCACTTGGACGATGCGACGGCAGCCACAGGACAACGGCGCCAGTGCGCTCACCACACACCAGCTATTGGAGTAGTAGCCAATTCGGTAGATGGGGATGATTGGGAGGCCATGATCTTAAGGGCCGATTGAGAGACTTTGGCCAGGACACCGGGGTTATACCCCTACTCTTTTACGAGAAGTGCCATGGGATTTTTAAGACCACAGCGAGTCAGGACCTCGGTTTAACGTCACATCCGAAAGACGGCGCCCACTGACAGAGTAGTGTCTCCTTCACTTTTACTGGGGCATTAGGACTCACACAGACCACAGCTTGAGCGCCCCCTGCTGGCCTCTCTAACACCACTTCCAACAGCAACCTAGTTTTCCCAAGTGGTCTCCCATTCAAGTATTGACCAGGCTCAGCCCTGCTTAGCTTCAGTGAGTAACCAGTCTTGGGCTGCAGGGAGCACACCCAGCAGGCACAGAAAGTCAACATGACATCAGATTGATGTTGAACCCCAACGTCATAGGGATGTTGCATTTTGTTTGGAAATGAAAATTGGGTTGACGTCAGAACCCAACGTCAGGCCGACGTCAATGTCCAACATTCAACCTAAAATCAACCAAATATCAACGTGTGGGGCCAATGCACGCCTCCCACCAGTGCTGATATACAGCCATAGCACACTGCTACTTGTGTGATATTGCTCATATATATATATATATATATATATATATATATATATATATATATATATATATATATATATATATTCAGTGATATACATTGCGGTATTAAATATATTTCACCAGATGGATTGAATAACTCCTTTTGTGAAGAATTCAGAATTTCAGAGTGTTTGAGGTCATTTTAGAGTGAAATGCATGTGAATAAATGATTTAAATTAACTTTCAACCAGATTTCTAGGGCCAAAAATAAAAAAAACATACAAATGAGAAAAAAATGAGTTTAATATTCGTCTGGTAAGACTTAATTGGTTGGACACAATTATAAAAAAACAATCTAATGTAAAATGACACTTGGCAGCCTTCACTATAAAAATTTAATTGGTTTTTGTTGAAGCAACAAATGCTATTGTTGATTGTGCCGGAATGCTTTAAACTCACATAATATGTTTAACAGAAATAATAGCTAATCGTGAATAGTTCAACTATTAACCATACTTGACATTGCAGATCCAGTGATGTGACTTTTGCTGATAGCACATTGGTATCAATGCTGAAGCGATATATTGTGCAGCCCTACTGTATATGATACTGTACCTGCTGTCGGAGAGATCTATTACTGTGTGATACATTGCAGCAGTGCTGGTGTCTGGAAGGCTGTTTTCTCTTTGTCTTTCTTTCATTACTGGATGGTTTGGACTGAGAGATCGAGCCTGGGCTTCTTCCAGACTCATGAGCTTCATGGGCCCACACTGTGTGCTGGCAGGCAAGGTGGCGTACTTCTCCCCACAGGCCATGCTAGGGCCTACAAAACCATAAAAACCAGTGTGAAGCATTAGCATATCATGAGCAGTAAACAATAAAAAGACCACAATCCTGCATAAACACATAAGGTTCTCTCTGGGTTCGATGCCCAGCTCATTTAAATTGTATTTAATAGTGTCATTTCATGATAATAATCCTATTTTCATCAACCATGCTCATTGGAAATACATGCCTTTGCATATATGTTTGTGAAATTTATAATACGTTCCTAAGGATGCGTTTCGTTGCACGTTTCAGATGACAAATCCATTAGAGGGCGCTGTTTACATTTGTGCAAGTCTATATAATATGTTACTTTAGGTAAGTTTTGTTATGTGTTTCAAACACACATCATTCTTGTGAATGTCAATGAAAATTGCAGGGCTTGTTATACAGTGAACCTTCGAGCTAAACTCTTCGCTAAACCCAACCAATAGTGTTTCAAAAGCAACTGTAAGGGAAAAGTGCACTGTGAACACATAGTTTAACCTTGATTTTACATTGCTTTTAACTTTTTGTGCAAGCATGCTTCACTGGACTTGAACTTGAGCACTCTGCAGCACAAATACAACACCATACAAGGTGAGCTACTGAGCAAACTGACCATGCAAAGTCAGGCAAATTGATTAATTCATAGATATCATTAAGTTGTTCTATGGAATTTATTTGGTTTTGTGCAATAACTGTAAAAAAAGATCCTTTATACATCAATATTATGTCCCTGTAAATATCATTAGTGTGAAAAGAAACAATAGTCGTTAGTGTCATATTGCATCGTAGCATTAATTTCAACTCAAACCTGCATAAAAACATACGTTTTTATGATTTTACAAAAATGTAGGCTGAGGTATGCATTTCTAATGAGCCTGTGATGGTTTTTAATCATACTGTATCTACTCAACATTTTCAAAACGCATTGGCTGGAAAGACAAATTTGTTATGGCCTACAAATCCATAAAAAAACTGTCTGAAGTATTAGCATATTATGAGCAGTAAACATTAAAATTAGCTCAATCTTGTGTAAACACATCAGGTTCTCTCTTGGTTCTATGCCTAGCTCAATAAAATGGTTTTAACAGTATAATTTAATGATAATGATCCCATTTTCATCAACCATGCACATCGGAAATACATGCCTCTGCCTGTATGTTTGTAAAATGTAAACTACCTTCCTCTGGGCATGTTTCGTTGCACGTTTTAGATCACAAATCTGCCTAGAGGGCGCTGTTTATATTTGTGAAAATCTAAAATTACTTTAAGTATGTTTTCAAACACACTTTGTTCTTGTGTACGTCCATGAAAAATGCATGGCTTGTTATACAGTGAACCACTGAGCTAAACCCTTCCCTTAACCCAACCTATTGTGTTCCAAAAGCAAACATAAAGGGAAAAGTGCACTGTGAACTACCTTGATTTTGCATTGCTTTTAACCATTTATACAGCAATGCTTCACTGGACTCAAAGCTGAGCACTCTGCAGCACAAAAACAACACCGTACAAGGTGAGCTACTGAGCAAACTGACCACGGCAGAAAAGTGTCCATATGGAGATAGACAAGTCAGGCAAACATATTCAACAATAAATCATAGACACTATTAAGTTGTCCTGTGGTATTAATTTGGTTTTGTGCAATAACTGTCAAAATAATCTATTATAGGTCGATAATATATCCCTGTAAATCTCATTAGTGTGAAAAGAAACAATAGTTGTTAGCCAATAGTCATTTATTTGACATAAAAATGGTAGACGTTGAGCCTGTGTTGGTTTTCATCATACAGTATGTACTCAGACGGTTTATGGACGGTAAGCCTGTGTTGGCTTTTATCATACAGTATCTAATCAACAATTTCAAAACACAGTGGCTTGAGATGATATGCAGTGAATAATACACCTTTAGCACTTCAACAAAAACACAATTGCATGCGTGCAGCCATTAGCGGTACGCTTTTTTTGTATGCAACATGCCTATTGTTTTGCTGTTACATTTTTGGCTGCAGACCTCATGCTATTGTGTTTACACCCCACTCCAAATCCCCATTTCCTGACTTTATCATAACAGTCATCACAAATTGCACATGCAAAGAAATGTACGACATATTATTAAATTTAGATTGTTTTAAGGACAACTTTATTTTCAACTGATAATAAGAACTATAATAATAATAATAATAATAATAATAATAATAAACTTTAATAACAATAATAATAAAACAACAACAACAACAATATTAATAATAATAATAACTATAATAATAATAAACTATAATAACAATAATAAAAAACTATAATAATAATAATTATTACAGTTTTATTATTATTATTATTATTAGTAGTAGTAGTAGTATTGTAGTTATTATTATTATCATTATCATTATTATTATTAGAGTAATTATTATTATTATTATTATTATTATAACTATAATAATAATCATAATAATAACTATAATAATAATAATAAGAAGAATTATAATAAACTATAATAACAATAATAATAAAAATACAATATTAATAATAATAATATTAATAATAACAACTATAATAATAAACTATAATAATAACAATAATTATAATAGTAATAATAAAATAATAATAATAATCTATAATAATAATAATTACTCTAATAATAATAATAATAATGATAATAATAATAACTACAATACTACTACTACTACTACTACTACTACTACTAATAATAATAATAAAACTATAATAATAATAATAATTATAATAATATTAATAACAAATATAATAATAAACTATAATAACAACTATAATAATAACAAAAAACTACAATAATAATAATAATAATAATAATAAAAAAAAAAATATATATATATATATATATATATATATATATTTAACTTTAATTGTTTCAAATCTAATTTTGTATTAGTTGAAAAATGTGTCCGCTGACATCCATAGGAAAATCTCATCACCGGTTTCAACATGCTTCAAAATATTTTGTTTTGTGTTTAACAGAACAAGAAAAAATTTTCCACACCAATAATAGATAAGTAAATAATGGCAGAGTTGTAATTTCGGGTGAACTATCTTTTTAAGCAAAATGATTGTGTAGCCGTGTTGCGTTCTCAAGAATGTAATTGCATTCGCACTAATATTACATACTTTATTTCTAATCAGCGCACTCATAGGCAGATTTCTTCTGTGAGTGAGTATAAATTCAGGGCATAATGGAGCAGCTTAAATAGGCTGTGGTAAAACAAACACATGTCCCCTGATCAAATTATCACAAGCTGTGGAAGACTGTGGATGGCTTTCCACTGAGCATAGGCTGCACTCAACCCAAATGTATGCTAATTACCTAAATGAGCTGCAATTTCCAATTACTGTATATCCTGTTTTAATTCATTCAGCGTGGATACAGAATACCCAGATGGCTTACATATCAAATAAAATCTCATCTCAATGCTGCTTCTACTCTCATTTAAACATTACTTTAGAATATGCTTCTTTAGTGACTATGCTAACAAAAATCTGTCATCTTTATTGCTCCAGTTACTCTTAGCTAGGCCCACATGAAATCTACGCCCGCAGAAATCCGCAGATTCAATCTGTTTATTTCTTTATGTAAATATCTGTAAATATATATTTATTTAGTCTTATATTAAATTTGGTCCCACTTTAAATTATGTGGCCTTAAATAACAACAACAACAACAACAACAACAATAATAATAACAACAACAACAATAATAATAATAATAATAATCATAATAATAACAATTATAATAATAATAATAAAACTAATAATAAAAATATAATGATAATAATAATAAACTATAACATTAACAATAATAATAATAGTAATAACAAAATAATAATAATAATAAGTATAATAATAAAAATAATAATAAATGATTATTATCATATTATTATTATTATTATTATTATAGAATAGATTATTATTATTATTATTATTTTGTTATTACTATTATTATTATTATTATTATAGTTTATTAATATTATTATTATCAATATAGTTGTATTATTTTATTATTATTATTATTATAGTTTTTGTTATTATTAATAATAATAACAAAAAATATAATAATAATAATAATAATAATAATAATAATAATAATAATAATAATATTAATAATAATAAAAGTATTTTAATAATATTAATCATTATTATAATAACAATAATAATAAATATAATAACAAAAATAATATTAACAATATTAATAATAAACTATATTAATAATAATAATATTAATAACAACAACAACAAAATTTTCACAACACACATTGACAGATATAATTTTTTTTTCACATAATTCTTCTAAAAAACAGCTGTTAATTATTATTAATTCATGTTAACTAATGCATTAACAAACACTAACTAATATAACCTTGTTGTTTACTTATGGAAATGTATATAAATATATATTTATTCAGTTTTTAAATTATTTTCAGTAATGTTATGGAATAATATACAAATGTTTATTCAATCTGTTTACAATACAGTTAGAATAGTAATACTTTCTCTCTATAAGAGGATATATTAAACAAAAGACTGATTTCATACCAGATTTTATTAAAATATCTAATTAGATTTGCATCGTGAACCTTAAATACAAGATAAATGCTTTTTTTCTTTTTTTTTCTTTTTTTTTTACAAGATTCTGTGCAGAAACAGCAAAACACATCTGCAGAATCTGTGTGGCCCTAGCTATGAACAGAAATTTGTCAAATAAAAACTCTCCGGATTTATGTGGAAAGATTTTAGGAGTATCATAACTAAAACTTAATATATGAAATAATATATAAAATATTTTTAATTGGTATTATGTTTAACTTGTAACTATGTTTTCAATAAAATAGATAGATGTTTGAAGTAGATAGATGTTTACAATGAATAGATAGAATTATCTATTTGATAATCTATTGATTATCAAATAGATCAGTTTTATTTGATAATCAAAGCAACTCTCTCATCTAATATATCTACTAAAGGACAGAACATAAATAAATAAATCATATGAACATTTTCATATCAGTCGATAATATTACTGTAATTAATTTAAAAACGGAAAAAATATAAATTTACACACATTTACACAAGTAAATAAACAGACTCAATGATGGGCTAAAAATCTGCAGACTTCTGCACGTGCAGATTCCGAGTGGGCCTACTCATAGCTAATGGAATGCTAGCTGTACCGTCTCTGGCCTTTGAAGGCTGAAACTCCAGGTTGAAGATCTGCTCGGTGTGATTGAGGATGAACTCCACAACCGACTGCTGGACCCGAACTTCTAGAAATGCGATATCTCCATTGCAAGAGGGCACCTCCACCTCCTTGGAACTACAGCAAAAGACAAAAGAGAAGCTAGAAAAGCATGTTCATGGTAGTAGATTATAACAATTAAGATAATAAATACAAAATAATTCAACCCAGGCTCATGCTGAATATGTACTCCTATATATATTTCTGAAGAGCGACAACTACATCCCAAGAGCTATATTTATTTGCAGTTTTTGTTTTCACGAATCCACCAGAGGCCGCTGGGTACGCTTTTTCAGATCTCAAATTTCTCTCGCGAGTGCTATTCATGCCTGCTGTTAAATCCACCAGAGGCCGCTGTCGACTGACAGACTGACCAATCCCCTCCACCCTTTCCCTTCCCTAAACCCAACCAATAGTGTTTTTAAAAGCACTAATTGATCTGCCCACTCCCTTCCCTAAAACCAAACGACAGTTTTAAAAAAACTGCAATCCAAACTGCAATCCAAAAATCCAGAAAAAGCAATCCAGAAAAAGAAAAGCCCTCGCCTGATTTTTACCATGTTTTCAGATTTTACCATACTCCCACCCTGTTATTTACTTGTTTATTTTATTTTATTTTATTTTGTTAGCTTTTGTTTTTGTCTTAACCGCTTTCTGGAACAGTTCTTCACAGGACTCTAACCCTATCATCGCGGTTAACTCTGCTCTGTGTCTCCAACCTACATGGCGAGCTACCGGGCAAACTGGCAACAATGGAAAAGCCTTAAAGAGATCTCTCCAAAAAAGATGAAAATTTTTACATGAAGGGTCCATATTGGTACCTTAAAGGTACATTTTAATTAGGTACATTTTTAATTTGGGTACTAATATGTACCTTAAGGTACTACCGTGCACTCTATAGGTACAAATATGTATCTTTTGAAAAGGTACTGCACCAGTGACAGCTCCCATTCCTTTATTTCTGAGGGCCTACTCACACTATGCTATCCGAACCGTGCCCAGGCCCGTTTCCCGGATCATTTGAGAAGTGTGAGTGACTGAATTGGGCTCAAGCATGGTTCACTTGGCCGACCCTGGCCTAGTTGGAAGAGGTGTGCCTGAGCGCGGTTCACTGAAAGCTTGACGTGACTTTTAAGGGGCTGTTTCATATGTGTTTATTAATTATTCTTACTGTTCAGTGAACGCAAACTGCCATAGTTTATTAAAGATGCAAACCCCTCACTGCACGACAGCTGCGCGCCTTCAGCAGACCTCATTCCTGCAGCACGAGGGCTTTATGATTGTTTATGAGCACCAAAAGGGGCGGATCTGTTCGGCGAAATATCTGACTGTGTGTCACCACATCCCTAAGGACTGTTTGGCGAAATATTTGACTGCATGTCACTGCATATCAAACCGACTGAAACGATATAACTAGAGAAATCTCCACTGTGCTGCTGAGTGAGAGCGCTTCTCACTGAACAGCGCAGCATCGATGATGTAAACGTGTCCAGGCCCGATTGTGGTGTGAGTGCGGGCCGTCGGGGGAGACGGGAGGGGGGACAAGCGTGCTTTGGCCCGGTTCGAGGCAACTGTACATAGTGTGAGTACGGCCTGAGAGTGTACAGTACTATGGATGTCACTAGCTATGGTTCCATTCACCTGTTTTTATGTGCATTTTGAATTATGGCATAAAACATGTCTTATGGATACACCAAAATGCGCATACATTTTTAAAATAAGCATTAAAACCATATGCGCATGACTGAGTAGGATAAACTGTTTATGCGATAAGTAAAAATGCGCATAAACTAAGATGGAAACACTTTTACTGCATAAATTCTTGCATGCGCATGAACAAATTCATGTGAGTTTGTTATGATAAAAATAGGTGCGAAAAACAGCAGTGTTGCCAAATTCAGATTTACCTGGTCAGTCTATTATTATTATTATAACCTCACAGAACTATCGTAGGCATTAATTGCGTGTCTTTTCGTCTAAAGTAATTTATTATATAGGAAGAAGATTCATGCAGCTTCTCCTACCGCACCAAAATTTTGTTTTCTTTTTGATATTTGGCTGCAGTTAATAAGGAAGTGACGATTTTTCTTCTCTTTGACTCACTGGATGGAGATGCTGCTTTATTTGCGAATGTTTTATGCGATATTCTAGTTTTGCGCATAAATTTAAATCACATCTTTGGATGGACACAGCTAACGGCTGCTGGAATGGCATCTGATGAGTATGTGCTGGATAAGTTGGCGGTACATTCCACTGTAGCGACCCCAGATTAATAAAGGGACTAAGCCGAAAAGCAAATGAATGTTGAAAACCGGTAACCATTTACATCCATGGCAGGAAAGTCAAATACTATTGAAGTCAATAGTTACCAGTTTCCAACTGTCTTGTTTTGTGTTCAACAGAGGAAAGACATTCATAAACGTTCAGAACCACTTAAATGAGAGTAAAAGGAGAAGAAGTTTCAATTTTTGGGGGAATGAATTCTCTCTTTTATATGTGGCGCTGTTATAGAAGATGATCAATAGGAACAGTTTAAAGTAGACAATGGAAAATGTGTGTAGACAAAAAATATAAAGCTCACCGAAGTAGATTAGGAGCCCACACCAGGGCAAGATTGCGAGCATGCATGTTGGTTTGGTGGCTGAGGGTGGCTAAATACGCCAAATGTTTAGTGAGGTATTCCAGCGTTCTGAGGGGGGAAAAAACATAAAGACATTGACATTTATGTACAGCTGAATACAAAATATTAGTCCTCCTGTGAAATTTTCATTATAAAAATCCAAGTGAGTTTAACAGAGCAAAGACACAGCATTTCCTATAGTGTTGTGTGCCTTATTTAATGTCCTATTTCTGTTAATTTGGTCTAACAACAAAAAAAAAATATTATGAATTAAAAATGAATAACAGTTACGGGTACAGTATTATTAGTCATCTAAAGCAGAAGTTCTCAACTGGGGACCCACATTTTTACATGCTCATCAAGCGCGACCTAAATTTTTAGGAACTATAATACAATTTTAGGAATTCTACTTAATTTGTATTTATTTGTTAACATAAACAAGTAATGACAGATCATAAGAAATTCACCAAGACTTACAAATAAACACTATTGTATTGCTGTCGTTTACCAAAATGGATCAAATTATAGAAATATTACAGAGTAAAAACGACAAATACTGTTGATAATAAACTGTTAATAAAACACGTTTTCTAGTTTCTAAATGTTGCTTTAATTTAGAAGGTTTCATGCTCTCTTATGAGAGCACCTCACTACACATGACACTGAGGCTTTAAGTCTTTTTTGTTGTCAATATATATATATATATATATATATATATATATATATATATATATATATATATATATACTTTACATATTCAGGGTCGTACTTGCACTTCAACATATTTGTTGCAATAATTAAATGAAATTTCTTATGTCAAACAGTAGGGTTGTCGCGCATGCATTTCAAAATAAAAGTCTGGTATAAGCAAAATAAGTAAAAAATTTTACTTTTGTTGTTTTTTTTTTAACCAAACACTCTGCAACCCACTAAAAATGTTTTTCGCGGCCCACCAGTTGAGAAACACTGCTCTTAAGAAATTATTTATTTGATTGACTAAAGAACAAACCACTGTTGTTTAATGATTTGACTTACTTACTCACTAACTCACTCCCAGGGCCATTTATATCAAGGTTGATATTTAGCCGCACCTTATTAGTGTTTGGTAACATCTAGTTTTTATGAGGTGGCTTGTTATCCTAATGCTCAACTCTCAACCTGGTGGACCAGGACATACACTACGCACAATTTAGTTTATTCGATTCCCCTATAGCGCATTTTTTTTGGACCGTGGAGGAAACCAGAACACCTAGAGCAGTGGTTCTCAAACTTTTTTCATCAAGTGCCACCTCAGGAAAAAAATGGTCTCTCCAAGTACCACCAAAATGAGCAGTATTGAACTAGAGTAGCGTAGTAGGCCCAGTAAAGCAGCTACAACTCTGCACAGTAAAAAAAAAAACATGGCAGATTACCTCAGAAATATAGGCTATTTGTCATATTGGCATATTCTATACATCATTTTTGATAAATTTTGAAATGTGTGTAGCATGTACATGACATATTTCATTCCTCCGCGTACCACTAGAAGGAAGCCTGCGTACCATAGTTTGAGAACCACTGACCTAGAGGAAACCCACGCCAACACGGGGAGAACATGCAAAGTCCACACAGAAATGCCAACTGACCCAGCTGGGACTTGAACCAGCGACCTTCTTGCTGCAAGACGACAGTGCTAACCCCTGAGCCACCGTGCCACCAAAAGTTACAAAGTTTTTTGGAAAATGTTGTGCCGCTGTAGTTTAATCCTCCACAGCACAATGGAAATAAGCAGCAAGAAAAGCGATTGTACTGTAATGATGTTTTTGTGAACTACAGGTCAAATGATTCATGGGAAAGCGTTCATGTTGATTCACAAGAGTGAATGGTTCATGAAGGAGACTTTTACTGAGAGATCAGGCCAATGTCAGTCAATAACAAATGAAATATTCACTGTTAGGGTATTCTGTCAAATTGGAAAGAAATTACATATAGTATGCTTGAACAACACAAGAGTAAATAAAGAAGCCACTTATGTGACCCCGGACCACAAAACCAGTTTTACAGCATGTTGCACAGGTGAAGTTTACAGGTATGGGTCAACTTTACTGATTTGGGGTAGCGCAGTGAGTAGTGTTGTTGCCTCACAGCAAGAAGGTTGCTGGTTCAAGCCTCAGCTGAGTCAGTTGGCCGTGTTGGTGCCTTCGGGTGCTCCAGTTTCCCCCACAGTCCAAACACATGTGCAATGGGTGAATTAAATAAGCTAAATTGCCCGTAGTGTATGTGTGTGAATGGGAGTGTATGGGTGTTTCCCACTGATGGGTTGCAGCTAGAAGGGCATTCGCATAACTAAACATACGGATAAGTTGGTGGTTCATTCCGCTGTGGCGATGACCCCTGATAAATAAAGGGACTAAGCCGAAAAGAAAATGAATGAATGATATTGGCCGTCAGTATCGATCAAAAATAACCATATCAATGCGTCCCCATATTCCAGAATTTTAAATATTGTATCTCAGTTAACTATTGTATAATCCTATTTGTTCAGCTTTCGCATGACACACACATCTCAGTTTCCAACACCCAACCCTTTCTTTGGTATTTTATTTAATTTTATTATATCATATTTAACCATCTTGGGACAAAAAAAGGTGGACTGTACCTGAAGTGTGACTCGGGAAGCTCTTTTATGGCACTCCTGATGTTTCGCAGCTGCTCCTGCTCCTCTTTAACTGACACTGCATGCTTTGCACAAACACAGACATTTATTAACAATGAAAGCTGCATGCTGGAAAACAGTGTTTTCTACTGTTTATAGAGAGAGGTGTCTGGCTGCAGACCTGGTGCAGTGCAATCTGGGCTGCATCCAATGCTTTGTAATGGGTTCACCTAACCCCACCCCTAACCCTACCCGTCACAGTGATGTCACTAGCTCCATTTGAGTGCATTGTGTCTGACATTGCATCGCTGAGTGATGCAGTCTCAGCTTGCATCATAAAGGCTGCATCCAGATACTACTGTTTATAGATCAGACATGTATCTGCCGTAGACAGTATAGAAAAAGCAAAACTAAAAGCTAAATGTTAAGTATGTGATGAAAAAACGTTCATTTTTGAGAGATCTATCCCTTTGTCTGAAAAACGTAATGCTTTATCGAACTTGTCTCACACTTATGAAACATCACACTGTTCATAATAATGTTGTTGATTTAATTAATAATTCTGCTGTTAGCAAAAAACTATTTAGCATGTTTATCTGCTTTGACAATCAGCATAGAAACAAAGGTGACTTTAACAGCGAAAGCATTTAAGATAAGATACAAGCAGCTAATTTTTTTTAAGCGAAGATTTTTAGCATTTCTTTAATTTACCAACCCTTAAATCTTTCCATATTCATATCAAATTATTTTATCTTCTGAAAACAAAGATATTTGTAATAAATCTGGGAGATTTACGATCAGTAAATATTAGGGCTGTCAAAATTAGCGCGTTAACGCACGTGATTAATTTGAATATTTAACGCCTTAAAAAAATAACGCAAATACCGCAGCTGCAGTTTTTTTTATTTCCTGTTGTGGCCGACGTGTGTTCAGGGCCGGCGAGTCCATAGACGCGACCAAGGTGGCTGCCTAGCATAACTAAAGGCTCACTTCCCTATTTCAGTTCGAACCCGGGGAACTGATAAGATTTGCTTTAACGTAGGGCATACTGGCTGTTTGACTTATGAAGAAGGGAACTTAGGTATGAAGGCACCAGTCCCAGAAGACTGTAGACCAGAGTCATCCAGTGGGGGTACCTTCTTACATACAGAGAAGGCTTTTGGCGTACAGTACAGTTCACAGTGGTGAGTAAGTCTCTGATAGCCTGTAACAAACCTTAGAGCGCTGTGATAGACGGAGTTTAAAGGCTGAAGACATTTGGTTGAGGCATTCATATATAAAACATTCCCATAGCCAATCAATGGTGAAAATGTTGCAGACACCAAATGTTTGCGAGCTTCAAGAGAAAAGCAGGATGCATTTCGATGGTAAAATTCAAGCTTAACTCTCAATTTTCGAACCAAATTTACTACGTGTTCTTTGAAAGAAAGCTCCTGATTGTGTAGAAAGCCTAAATACTTATAGATGGACACAAAATTAATTTGGTAAAAAATTTGGACTAGAAAAAAGAAAAAAAAATATAAGTAAAAAAAAAAAGCATTTTTTGCAATGTAATCTCAATTTATATCCTACTGTTTGTACACCTCGTTTACAAACTGTTTGTTTTCCCTCGTTTACATGATTGAAAGTTTGCTTGTTTAATGTTTAATTGTTTAACTTGTAGTTACATTTGCTATTTAAGACAATGACATTCAAACACTTTAAAAACAAAACCTCTTAACCTGATTCAGACTTGTTATTCTATTCTATTCTATTCTATTCTATTCTATTCTATTCTATTCTATTCTATTCTATTCTATTCTATTCTATTCTATTCTAATGTATACTGTAAAAAATGCTGGGTTCCACACAAATCCTTAATGTTATCCCAACACAAACCGATTGAGTCAACCTAATCATTTTTACAAAATTAAGTGGATTGAACATAACGGGCCCTATTAAACATCTGGCGCAATGTGGTGCAAGGCGCGGCGCAATACTCTTTTGGTACTTTTAGCTCGGCGCAAGGGTCAGTTTGAGGTGTTGCGCCACATTGTTTAAATAGCAAATGCATTTGCGCTCAAATGTGCGCCCATAGGCGTTCTGGTCTAAAAAAGCAGGCGTGTTTTGGCGCATTGCTATTTTGAAAAAACTGGAAATAGTCTGTTCTTTAGACCAGAACAAAGTCGGTCTATTGTCTGGCGCAAAGTGCGCCTGGCTTACACACTACACACAAGATGCAGAGCAATACGCAAATATCTTTACATATGAAAAGTTTATAATATCTTAAGGATATATATATATATACCTACATGAAGATTTAAAAACCACTGCCTTACTTTCTTCATCTCGGGAGGCTTTTTCAGTTCATTCAATTTGCTTTTGTATAATGTTATTATTATTAGCTGTATTATTTATTATATCCATATTTATATTTGTTTTATTAAAAACAAGCTTAGATTTTTAGATTTTTTCCACCTGTCAAATTTTAGACCATATGGGGCATGGCAGGTGTATTTGGAAATAACTCAGTATTTTGACCACACTTGGTTATTATTGTTCATTTATTCGTTTGCTAGAAATCAGAACTGAATTTAAAAATAGTTTTTAACCAAATCTTTGCGCTTAACAAACGAAATTATTTATAGGCTAATTGATGCCTGTGCGTAAAGCTTTCCCTATCCACGAGAGCAAAAGCGAAAGTGAACTTACTTTACGTCAAAATGCGCTTATGGCGCGACACAGCTGGCTCTTAAAGGGATGGGAGATGAGGCTTTAATTGGTTTTTTCTCAAAACACGCCTATAACTCATTAAGAAAATAAACTCAACCCTCTGCGCATGGACTGTCAAAATAGAGCCCAACATAATTAAGTTGTCATAACAAACATCTTATGATTTGTGATGTTTTAGCTTATTTTAAAAAAGTTGTTTGAACAAGAAGCAAAAATAATTTTTGGAGTGTTTTCTATTCTATTCTATTCTATTCTATTCTATTCTATTCTATTCCAGCCCACTCCTTTTCCCCACTCACACAACTTACTGTAAATTTGCTGTAGAGTTCATAAGTGAGAAGCGGGTTGGGCAGCTCTCTGAAGTACAGCTTACATAAAGAGCCCACGCAGTGGATATCCTGAAGATACACTTCTTTAGTGAGGTCAGGACAGAGTTCAGAGCTAAACTCCTGTCTGAATATACACACACAGAGAGGAACACATGTTTACTACAAAGAAAATGATGGTAAAAATGCCTTAAGTCAAGTAGCATAAACATTTCCAGCATACTAAAGTATTGTATGCGTGCAGTGTTGGGTAAGTTGGGTTAAAACTCATCTCTTCAGCCATCACCTGAAGCCTTCAATACCAGGACCCCACCACAGGACAACCTCGAAACATTATGCAATTCTGAGAGTGTACTCAAACTAGGCTATCCAAACCATGCCCAGGTGCATTTGACCCCCATTTCTCAGTGCTCCGAATCTTGCATGTTTGCATGTTCTCCCAAGTTCGCATGGGTTTCCTCCGGGATGCCCCGGTTGCCCCCACAAGTCCAAAGACATGCGGTATAGGTGAATCGGATATGCTAAAACTGTCCCTAGTGTATGTGTGTGAATGAGAGTATAGGTGTTCCCCAGTGATGGGTTGCAGCTGTATCCGCTGTGTAAAACATGTGCTGGATAAGTTGCCGGTTCATTCCACTGTGGAGACCCCAGTTAAATAAAGGAACTAAGCCGAAAAGAAAATGAATGAGTGAATGAATCTTTCTCAACTCATTGTTTCTTAAGCATGGATGATGTACTTTATTTGATCTAATTATTATGCAGAATATCCAGATAATAAAAAGGCTCTGCTACTTTTCTAAAGCACGTGAAATTATCTTGATGAATATAAGCTTTAGTTCAAAATTACAATTGTTATGCTAAATATATTTGTATATTTCTACCTCTCTGAATTGATTAATACAAATCAACTGTTGAATGTACTTACAGTATTTAAGGCAAATGCATTATAAGCAACTATAATTAAATTTCCCGGAAATAAACAGTAATTCATTTATTCTAAATTTCAAGTCATTTATTTACAGTAGTTACTAATTACACCCAATACTGAGTGTATGCATGTAGGGTTTCAAACAAAACTGTCCGACCTGAGTTTCTGGATGTTAGATGTGATTCCTGAGAGTCTGTAGATTCCGTCCACAATCCCATGTTTCTCGATGAACTCTGCACAGGTCTTCAGAACGTGAGGAACTGGATGGAGGGAAAAAGCAGGACATTTATGGATGCATTCAAATATATTCAAACAGAGTAAAGGATTCGTTTATGCCTGTTATGATTGAGCCTCTGTTGTGTTAAAGCAGGGGTCACCAACCTTTATGAAACTGAGAGCTACTTCTTGGGTACCGATTAATGTGGAGGGCTACCAGTTTGATGAACACTTCTCAAATAACAAATTTGCTCAATTTACTTTTAATTATAATTTGTTTTTGGTAATAATTAATGATATTCATCCATGTGAAGATACTGATCATGGTAATGATTCTCACAAAAGTTATCAACAATGATTTAACAGGGTAGGAAATACCCTGTATTTAATGTATCAGTGTGCAACACTTTATTTTTATATATCTCTGCAAATATTTACATTTTAAATGATTACTTCTACATTAGATGAAGCTTACTTGTAAGTGGCGCTATGGTGAGCTATTTTTAGAACAGGTCTGCGGGCAACACATGTGATCCTCGCGGGCTACCTGGTGCTAAAGGGTTATGTCACCCAAAAGCGAAGATTTTTAGCATTTCTTTAATTTACCTACCCTTAAATCTTTCCATATTCATAACAAATTATGACAAAACAAATCTTCTGAAAACAAATGTATTTGTAATAAATCTGTGAGATTTTTGTCTCTACATTGGAAATCTGTTGAAATACAAATTTAGACGATAGATAAATATGAAACTAATTATGACCCTTGCTGTCTATAGAGGATGAGAGAGCTCCAGGATTTCATCTAAATATCTTAATTTGTGTCTGAAGATGAATGAAAATTTCTGGGATTTGGAACAACACGAAGGTGAGAAATTAACAGAATTTCCATATTTGGGTGAATTGACCCTTAATAATAGCCTAAATTACCTATTTTCGTTATATTATGATCAACTACATTTACAATAATCCAACAAACTAAGATATTTGTAACATATCTGTGAGATTTTTGTCTCTCCGCTGGAATACAAATTACAGTAGGACGATAGCTAAATATGAATCAGGAGTCTTCCCCACCACAATATGATCAACTCATGCCATTTAAGCTTTTATAAAAGAGTTAGTTCACCCAAAAGATTAAAATCTGTTATTAATTACTCACTGTCATGTTGGTTCCATTCACTGAGACTCTTGTTCATCTTCAGAATGCAAGTTAAGACATTTTAGATGAAATCCTGGAGCTCTCTCGTCCTCCATAGACAGCAATGGATCAAGACGTTCAAAGTGCAGCATAGAAAAGGATTCAAAAACAATGTCAAAACAGTTCATGTGACTTCAGCTGTCATCATCCGAAGCTCCAAGAACACTTTTGTGCACCAAAAACAACAAAAAATGACTTTGTTTGCTTTTGTCTTCTTCTCACAACAGTTCAGGGTGTGGTTTTACTATGTATTACTACTGTTGCACAACACGCAAATGCATATTACCTGTGGTAAATGCACACTCTAATCTGACACTAAAGAAAAAGGTAAACAAAGTAGTTTTTCCCACACAAAAGTGTTGTTAGAGCTTCACATTATTATAGCTGAACCACTGAAGTCACATGGACTGTTTTGACAATGTTTTTCATGGACCCTTGCTGTCTATAGAGGATGACAGAGCTCCAGGACTTCATCTAAATATCTTAATTTGTGTCTGAAGATGAATGAAGATTTCTGGGATTTGGATCAACATGAGGGTGAGAAATTATTAACAGAATTTTCATTTTTGCGTGAACTAAACATTTAATAAAAGCCTAAATTGCATCTTTTCATCATATTATGTTCAAGTACACTTAGAAGAAGTCAACAAACTAATATATTTGTGACATATCTGTGAGATTTTTGTCTCTCAGATGTCTACCGAAATACAAAATTAGGACGATAGCTAAATATGAATCAGGCTGATTAGTCTTCTCCATCACAATGTGATCAACTCATGTCATTTAGGCTTTTATTAAAAGGTTAGTTCACCCAAAAAATCAAAATCTGTTATTAATTACTCACTATCATGTTGTTTCCATAAACTGAGAGGTCAGTTCATCTTCAGAAATGCTAATTGAAACATTTTAGATGAAATCCTGGAGCTCTCTCATCCTCCATAGACAACAATGGATGGAGACAAATATAGAAAAAACCCAACAACACTGTCAAAACATTATAGATTACTACAGTGGTTCTATTGTAATTACACGAAGCTACAAGAACACTTTTGTGCACCAAAAACAGTAAAAATGACTTTGTCTGCTTTTATCTTCTTTTCAGCAACAGTTTAGGTTGGTTTTACTATAGATAATGCAATTGTCTATAATGTACCATTGTACCATTAGAGTCAGCAACTTAACACACAAAAAAGCATCCTATTACTCGTAGTAAACACACACCCAACCAAGACAAAGGTGAACAAAGTAGTTTTTACAGTTTTCTTTGCCACACAAAAGTTTCCATGGAGCTTTGCATGATTACTGTCGAACAACTCAATGTTTTGACAATGTTTTTGGTTGATCCATAGCTGTCTATGGAGAATGAGAGAGCTCCAGGATTTCATCTAAAATATCTTAATTTGGGTTTTATGAACAACATGAGGGTGAGAAATTTATGACAGAATTTTCATTTTTGGGTGAAACTAACCCTTTAATAAAAGCCTAAATAGCATATTTTCCTCATATTATGATCAAGTAGACTCAGTTAATAGAGTAGAAGATTAATCCACCAGATTCATATAGATCTATTGTCCCAATTTGTGTTTTGGCTGAACAGACTACCAGTGGAGCGACAGTTTGTTTTCAGAAGTTTGTTAAGAGTATGGAACGACTTGAAGGAGTAAATAAAAGAATTACTAAAAATCTGAGGTGCCTGGAAGTCTTGAATGATTCTTGAGTGCTGTTTTTCAGATTTACTGTAAATATCATTTTGTTCTCTTCAGACAAAGCTCTATTTTGGCTTCAGAAGCCTTGGATTAAAGCACTCGAGTTGTCTAGACTTTTATGATGTTGTTTTGCTGTTGTTGGTGTTTTTTGGAGCTTGGCATCAATGCTGAAATGCTTCTAAATATCATCAGGAAAAAATACATGTGTAAAACATATGCTGGATAAATTGGTGGTTCATTCCGCTGTGGCGACCCCTGATAAATAAAGCAACTAAGCTGAAGTAAAATGAATGAATGAATGAATGAATGAATGATTTGCAAATAGTTCAGAGGAATATCAAATACACATCAAAACATTTGCTCGACTCCAAGTGTTTCTAAACCTTTATGAGTTTCTTTCTTTTGCTTAACACAAAAGAAGATATTTTAAAGAATGCTGAAAACCTGTAACCATTGACTTCTACAGTATTTGTCTTCCTACTTTGCAAGTCAGTGGTTGCAGGTTTCCAGCTTTCTTCAAAAGAGCTTCATTATAGGTGAGTATTTTCATTTTTGGCTGAAGTAACTCTTCAAATAATAAACATAAATGATGTTAGTTAGTAAATAAACCAAAACAAAGATTACACTTTAACACATTTGGGCAAAAAAATAATAAATCAGATATTTTCTGATTATCTTTTTTTTTTGACATCTTGCCATAAAAATGGGGCCATCAAAATGCTTCTCAAGATACACAACCATCATCACGAACAATAACAGACGCTGCATGCCAATTTTGAGTTCACTTGGACAAACTACACTGCAGTCAAAGCCATTGTCATGTTTTGTTGTGTTGAGCGCTGCATGTGTCCTTAATTTGAACCCTTACACTGTCCAAAAATATCCCTAAATTAGCCGTTTTTCTTATTTTGTGATTCATCTTTTTATTTTTTCCCATTTATTTATGCTATCGAATTGCATTACAAGACCTTGATCTTCCATCCAACAACTTTTAACCTTGAAAAGCTTGAAAAAGTGACTTTTATGAACATTTTTGATAGTTGAAAGTGATATATTGACTGGGTTGGTGTTGTATATTACTCTACAAAAGCCTTGTATTAACTATTTATATAATTATATATATATATTAATTATATTACCTTTGTTATTTTACAGATTTATTTTGTCTCTAAATTATAATTTCTTATACATTATATTATTTCAAACAACTGAAAGGTCAATAAAAGTAATTTTGTTAAACTATAGAGTTTAATTTTCAACATCAAAAGTCGACAGAGCAGAGATCAACATCCCATAATGCAATTCACAACCTTACATAAACGAAAAGAACACACAATATGGAAACTGTTAATTAACAGATATTTTAAGTGCCAAATGTGCTGTAAATTCCACAGATTCACTCACACACAGATGAATGCGCTGATTTGAAGGCATTCTCTTGGCATGCAAAAACATTTCAACATCCTCCCTATAGGATAGAAACTAGCCATGCTTTTCCCAAAAGTATTATTAGCCAAGTATTTTGGACATATTTCAACATTTGAAGTTTCAACATATTTCAAGCAATAGGTGAAATTCTGCACCCAAAGGAAATAAGTGCCAGTTTTGAAGATTAATCATGAAACAGTCACGACTAGCTGGTTAAATTCTTTAACAATGCAATGAGTCCGTGGTTACGTCATTGTACAGGAAATCCACCTCTGGTTATGATTTCAGATACTTTGTTCAGATTGGACAAATTCTCTAAAAGCGTCCTGAGAGTATTATAAAAACATAATTTGTGTGTGTGCCTTGTATTACTTACATTGTGAGGACCAAATGTGTCCGCAAGTATAGCAATAACAGTAAATTTTGACCTTGTGTGGACATTTGTGGGAAAATGACTCATAAGTCATACATACTTAAGTAATTTGATGATTAAATTTAAAAATGCAGATTGTTTTCTGTAAAGTTTGGGTTTAGGGGGATATCATATACAGTAAATATCATTACGTTTATATGAAGTCCTTATGGAGATAGCTGTACAAGTATGTGTGTGTGTGTGTGTGTGTGTGTGTGTGTGTGTGTGTGTGTGTGTGCTTGAGTGTGTGTGTGTGTGTGTGTGTGTGTGTATTACCTTGCTAAAAGAAAGTAGATG